AGCAAAATCTTATATTTCATTATAATTTATGAATTTAAAAAATTGCATATATAATTGCATCATATGCATTCATTATATAATTTTATGAAAAGTTTGGAACTTAGGATGGATAGGAAAATAAGTTGAGATGGGTCATATTATGTCAAAATTTTATTTTTGATGGGGGCTGAATTCCAAAACTACCCCTCTTCTATGTTAAAAATTTTTATTTTTCTTTAGGGTGCAATAGTGGGGATCCGCCCATGAATAGCATGATATATATGTAACTCTCCGAAATTAAATTTAAATAATTTTGATTCCACATGCACTAAGGGCATATTATTAAGATCTAAAATATAATTAAAAATATGATAAAATGTTATATTAACTACTAATATGAACCAAAGACACCATATCTTATATAAAAGATAACATCAACACCTTGATAATTCTAACATCTAAATAACAGCTGTTGATTATAAGGTCGATTATAAAGCTCTTGTGGGAAAATAACTTTTGTAAAAAATATTGCAAATTGTAGCTTCCAAGCACATAAATTTCATGAAAATAGCAAAAAAAATAATAACTACAGAATTATACCAATAACCTCAAATCTACATCATTAACAACTACAGAATTACCATTTTTTTATTTGACTGCATCTTTTTAGAAATTTAAGTGATGAGTGTTCATAACAAAATTTAAAATTTCCATAATAATAATATAATAATTGTTGCGGGATAGAATATACGTGGCGATAGAGTTAAAATATTGTGCCTTAGCATTGTACGAATATCCAGCTCACACATAGAGAACACAAGATATTTTTACTACGTGGAAAACCCTAAAAAGGGGAAAACCATGGGGCTTGGCCTAGTCTGAAATAATTCCACTAATATTTGGGGTAGATTACAATGAGCTGACTCGTCTCTGAGGGTGATCAGATTACAAATGTTAACAGTTTTGTTGATATCTAGCGACAAACAAGGATGAAAGTACAATGTCACTTGGTGGACTAGCAGAAGTCTGGTGCTACGTACTTGAAAATTTATGTGTCAGTTGATAGCCTGGCGTTGGTTTGGCAAAACTTCAACGTCGGGCGGTGGTCCGGTGGAAGTCCGACTTCAGATGGTGATCCGATGGAAGTCCGGGTGTCAAGTGCTGGTGCGACAGAAGTCGAGGCGTACTCTAGGCGCCAAGTGGTGATCCGGTAGAACTTTGGGCCTCAGGTGATGGTCCGGCAGAACTTCGAGCCTTAAGTGGTGCTCCGGCAGAAGTCCGGACGTCAGGTGGTGGTCCAGCAGAACTTCGAGCCTTAGGTGATGGTCCGATGAAACTCAGGGCCTCATGTGGTGGTCTGGTGGAGCTGAGAGTCTCAGGTAGTGGTTCAGCGGAGCTTAGGACCTCAAGTGGTGGTTCAGCGGAACTCAGGTCTCAGGTGGTGGTCTGGCAGAACTTCGGGCCTTTAGTTGTGGTCCAGCAGAAGTCCGGGCCTCAGATGGTGGTCCGACAAAACTCTGGGCCTTAGGTGCTTGTCCGGCGAAACTCATGGCCTCAGGTGGTGGTCTGGCGGAGCTCAGGGCCTCAGGTGGTGGTCTGGTGGAACTCAGGGCCTCAGGTGGTGGTCCGGCGGAACTCATGACCTCATGTGGTGGTTCGGTGGAACTCAGGGCCTCAGGTGGAGGTCCGAAGGAGCTCAGGGCCTCTGGTGGTGGTCGACGGAGCTCTGGGCCTCAAGTAGTGGTCTGACGGAGGTGAGGGCCTCAAGTGGTGGTCTGACGGAACTCAGGCGGTGGTCGAGGATGAGCGAGGAGGCAAGAGCGATCTTCGATCTCTCTCTTGAATCCTTGGGCTTAGGTCCCTTTTTTAAGAGGGAGGAGGGGTCTATTTATAGATTTCCTAGAGTGGCATGACCCATAAATAGAAGGAGGATCAAGGGCAAATAGGAAGTGATTTGGATGGACGACTGATGTTGAATCCCTTTGATCGTGGACTGTTCGTTAGACATTTGAAAGTCTTAATGATTTCGGAATTCTGCAATCTTATGTTCGTTGGATTTTTCTCATTGAGCCTCTCGATTCAACTATAAGCATGTCACGTTTGAAAACCGTTTAGTAATCCAAATTGTGGTTTGAACCTTCCAACAGCTCTTCGGATCCTCGATTTGAACCAATTTGGGCTCTGATTGAGTTAAATTTTGTGTCGTTGGGTTTGTATTTCCGAGACGTTCAGTTTGACTATAAGTTTACCAAAATCGGAGTTTGGATGGTCCCAATTTTAATTTTGGAAGTTTCCAACTTGATTTTGCATCGAAATTCATGTCAATTCAAGATATTTTTTCGAGGATGTATCAATAATAATATCCAATTTTCAAGAAAACTAAAATGATAATTGTTGCGTGTTAGAAAATACGCGGCGGTAGAGTTTGTAAATTCGCGTCCGAGCGTTGCACGTAAGTTTAACACACAAACAGAAAAGAGAAGTGAACACCAAGAGTTTTTACGTGGAAAACCCAAAAAGGGAAAAAAAACACGGTGCCTCGCCCAGTTGCAAAGTTCCACTAGTGTTTTTGTAGATTACAAATGGCGGATTTCGTCCCACAAGTCGGGATAATCCAAATACAATTTGTTTCTTCCAAGAAGTTTACAAAATTCTGCGAATTCCCGGCGTTTCCTGAAAATCCGGCAGAGTTCTGGCGTCTTCAGGCGGCAGGAAGAGCTCCGGCGGTGGTCGAGGAGGTGAGGAATCTCCTTTTCCCCTTTCTCCTTCTCCTTCTATTCTTCTTATCTCTCTTCACTTGAGTCCCCTTGGTGTAGAATGAGGGCTCTATTTATAGTTTTTCTGGAGTGGCATAGCCCGTAAATAGGCGTGAGATCAAGGGCTCATTGGATTCGTCTCGTCGAGCCGTTCGATTTGAGTATAAGCTCGTCAAAATTGGAGACCGTTTGGTAACTCAAATTGCGGTTTGAACCTTCCAACAGCGCTTTGAACCCTTGATTCGGACTCATTTGGGCTTGGATTGGGTTGATCTTGGTGTCGTTGGGTTCGTATTTCCGAGACGCTCAGTTTGACTGTAAGCTCGCTGAAATCGGAGTTCATATGCTCCCGAAATTAATTTTTGAAGTTTCCAACTAGCTTTTGCCTCGAGATTCGTGCCCGATCAAGATGATTTTGTGATGCCGTATCAATAATACTCATAACTTTTAAAATTAACATTTTTCTTAATAATTTTACAAATAATTACAACCATCTCAAATGAATCCAAAAGCAACAGCACAAACATACAGAACCAGATTTATTCAGAAATAGTTCTTTTATTGATCTCTTATTACAAATGCTGAAACATGATCAACTATCACATATAATTCATAAACATCATCTATTACAGATAATAACATTAAGTTCATCAAAATTCAGTCCAAAATCTCCATCCCTTGGAGAAAGATGCCACAAAAAGCAGAATCTGGGAGGCTTCTAATTTCTCCATGGCTCCAGTTTCTTTGACAATAGAGGACTGGTGGAAAGGTTCAAAAGTAGTGTTATTGAAGCTTATTTGATAGAAAGTAACAATTAATTGATGGTTCATCAAAAGAAGGATGCAATTGGAATAATTTGAAAGAGATTGATTAAGGTTTCGTTTGGGATGATTTTTTTACAGCATCTTAAAGAAAGCAGCTTTAAGAAGCGGTAAGAAAGCCGTCCCAAACGAAAGGTAATACTGACTTCAATTCATGGCATATTTCTGGGTCCAATTACGAGCAGTCGCTTCGTATCGTAGCCTATCATTCTTGCATATGTGGGCGATTTCCGGCACCAGCGGATCGTCAGGATTTGGATCAGTGAGCAGTGAGCAAATAGAAAGCAGAACCTATTGGCCATAAATCATGAAAAGGTTTTTTTTAAACTATTTTGTTGAGAGTACTTAAAAGAGCCGTGGCGAGCTCAGATTACCTTTGATATGGTGAGAGCAGGGCTCCACTGATCCTTGAGTATGTCCAAACATATATTTCCATTGCTGTTAATATTTGGATGGAACACCTTAGTTCTGAAGGCTACCTGTTCATTATAAGAGATTAAGAAAAGAAAAAAAAAAAGCTTAACTTTAGAAGAGTAAGATTAATATGTTGATGAACCTTAGGAGGTTTAAAGGGATAATCTGGGGGGAAATGAATGGTCACAAGAAAGACACCCCCTGCGTAAGGACTTTCATTAGGACCCATAATAGTAGCTTGCCAATGGAACATGTCATCTGAAACAGGACCTAAACATGAAATATATTTTGATATTAATCCATGCACCAAAATCTTTGGAATTTAAACCAATTCAAGACTCTTATAAATCTAATTCTTACCTGCACTGCAGGAAGTTGGTGGGTCTCTTTGCAGATCTTTGAGCTCCTTGATAATTCTTCTGGAGGCCATTCAGTCACCACCTACCTCTCTTTCTGTCTGATATCTCTCTATTAAAACAACCTAACTGCTGCTGAATGAAGAAGAAAACAAAATTTATATAGAGAAAGAAGATCATATGAAAGAGCTATAGGCCATCAATTTTGGTCCAAAAGTGAGGAATTGTGTCCATAAGCATCAGATTCTGGATAAGATTTGAAAGGGAAAAGGAGATGAAGTGGTCAAGAGGAATCAATCTCAAGTTGTAGAAGCAAAGAAGGGATCAGCTTTGCTGTTCATAAGAACATTTCAATTTTTCTTAGCCTTGGATGGCTACACCACTCAAAGAAGAATATAATGTTCTCTTTAAACAATAAAAAATTGTGATATGATAACTCTGGTTCTAATTGCGTGAAACCATATCTTAAGGCCTTTCATCAAGCATTTCAATCATGAGGATCTGAAGACGGTGGATGGACGGTTGTCATTTAAAGGCAAGGAATCCACTTAGAAGATGATTGGTCCAGAGCATAAGCAGTTGTACAATATTTAGATTTTCTTTGGGATAGGTTTTTTACTGTTTTTCAGTACAATAAAAAATTTTTATTCTAAAAAGCCGTTTTATAAAGCAGTTCGAAAGCTATCTCAGGATTTGTTTTCACCAATCATGAGCGAGTTTTGGCCAGCCAACAGGGGTTTGCAAAACACTGTGGATTGGTGAAATTTTGGTTTTGGATATCTGAACTAAATTTACTCAAGTGAATCTTTATATCTGCATAAAAAGATTTTGGTGTATATAAGAGATTTTTTTTTTCCAAAGAGTTTGTGTGCTTGGTGGACTGGCTAGTGGGCTAAAGAAAAGGTTTCCCACTTGGAGTGGATTGAAGAGAAGTGTATGATTTATCCATTACTCCACCTAGTAGTGGTTGAAGGAGAGGTTAGAACAAGTCTTGCACAGAGAACTCAGGGCATGCACTCATAATAAGAAGAGAGGTTGATGATTGTAATTTAAGATGAACCTTTAGGGTTTCATGCAATCATTAGTTTTAGGTCAACAATATAAGGGAATATAAATAGTAGAGCCCTATGGTCTCACATAAATCATTAAAAATATTTTTATTAGCAAGCTAACATTCATAAATTCCTTAATTTTTGTAATAGATTAGGCTCTAGATGGCATGGTTATATGATTTAACATTTTTTAGAATCAACATTAACGAAGGTATAAAAATCACAAATCTTTTCATAGGCCCACTGTAATTATCTTTCTAAAACTATATATCATTACGAAGCAATACAAATTTTTACGATTATCCGTAAGTTTACGAAGGCATAAAAATCTTTATGATTGTCTGTAAAGCCAATCAAAATTTGAAATTTAATTTTTATCAAATAACCAATGCTTATTATGCAAAAAAAGTATTTGATTAATCTAAAGATAGAGCTCATATAATATGATACACATGCTACTATTTAAAAGTGACCACTCTTTTTTTATTTTCTTGTTGTGCAAGGCTTAAATATGAATGACATAATAAAATTCTTTTACTTAGAAAATATAAGCTTTGAAACTGTGTAAATAGCATGATACTAATGTTATTATTTAAAAGTGACCTCCCTTTTTTTAGCTTGCTATAACATAAAAATTAGTTAATTATCAAAAGAGAATTTATGTTGTTTGCATGAAAAGTCCTATTCATTCCATGAAAACCTTTAACATCTTTTTTGGTAGGAAGGGAGAAGAGAAAGTGAGCCTAAAAATTTTGTTCTATAGCATAAGGAATTAAAAGCCCTTCTAGTTTAATCACTAAACAAACTAAAAAGTCCTACACCTAATTTAGAAAAAACAATAAATTCATGACATAGATGAATGATAATAAAAAGTCAAATCTATCATGAAATTAAATGAGTGAAAAAAATATAAAAAATAAGAACTAATGATGCTCCAAATAGCTTTGTTTCCTCATATAGCTCAGGACTATATATACACTCAATCTACTGTCATTTTTAACAAGTTGGCTTAAAAAAAATCAAAAAACAAAATTTAGGCATTTTTATTATTTCTAAAATATACTTTTTCAAAACAAACTTAGGCTTTGCAGCGGAGTAGAATATACCCGGCGATAGAGTTAGTAAATTTTCGTCTCAGCGTTGTACGAATATTCAATACACAAATAGAAAAGAAATGGAAACAATAGGGTTTTTACGTGGAAACCCTGAAAGGGAAAAAACCACGGGGACTTGCCCAGTTGAAATAATTCCACTAGTATTTTGTTTGAAATACAAGAGGCTTACTCATCCACAAAGTTAGGACGATCAGATTACAATGGATCTCTTCTAAATTGATCTTCAGTTACAAAATTCAGCAGAGTTCCAGCGTCGTTCCGAAGTTGAGTAGAATTCCAGCGTCACTCGAGCGTCGGGCAGAACTCCGACGGTGGTCGAGGAGTTATTCCCTCATATCCTTCTCTTCTCTTATTCTTGCTTTTCCTCTTCTTGCTTCGGTCCCCTCTCATGAGGAATGAGGGGTCTATTTATAGATTTTCTGGAGTTGCATAGTTGTAAATAGGTGTGAGATCAGGGCCAAATAGAGAGTGGTCGAATGTAGGGGTGTCAATTTCGGGTCACAGGTCGGGTTCGGGTCGAACCCGGAAATGACCCGGCACTATTCGGGTCAACCCGAACCCGACCCGTTTTTACAAACGGGTCGATTTACCGGACCCGAACCCGACCCGCTTTGGGTTCGGGTCAACCCGACCCGACCCGGGGTTAAACGGGTCAATTTCTGGAACCCAAACCCGACCCGTTTTGAAATCGGGTCGGGTTCAACCCGAATTTTCCAGGTCGGGTTTTCGCGTCGTGTCAAATATTGACACCCCTAGTCGAATGGACGATTGATATTGAATCCCTTTATCGTGCACCGTTCATCAAACATTTGAAAATATTAATGATGTCAGAAATTGGCGATCTTGGGCTCGTTGGATTCATCTCGTCGATCCGTTCGATTCAACTATAAGCTCGTTAAAATCAGAGACCGTTTGGTAACTCAAATTGCGGTATGAACTTTCCAACAGCACTTTGGATGCTTGATTTGGGCTCATTTGGGCTCGGATTGAGTTGAATTTGGTGTCGTTGGGTTCATATTTCTAAGATGCTCAGTTCGACTATAAGTTTGCTGAAATCGGAGTTCAGGTGATCCCAGATTTATTTTTTGAATTTTCCAAGTTGATTTTGCCTCGAGATTCATGCCCAATAAGATAATTTTTTGATGTTATGTCAAGCTTTATTGAGAATAATTTTATTATTGCTTTATAAAACAGTTTAGATCCAAATTTTGTGACATAAAAATTTGACGTAATATAAAAAGTAGTATGCTAATCAAATAATTGATCAAAATTTAAAAATAATCAACAAAAATGATTTCCAAAGACAACTACAAGCCATAGCTAAAGAACAATGGTCTTCATAAACATTTTTAACAATATAACTAATCCATTAAGCATATTCTTTTACGCTTTTAAATCAATATTAATCTTAAGCTAATACATTTATATAAATTTTAATTAATTAATCATATAGTTCTTTTATATCAAAATAAATTCAATAATTTTAAAATTAATTCTCACCAATATTTCATCAAAATATATACTTCCAAAAAATTTTTACAAACTATAAACAAAGACAGCAATATATCCCTACAGTAAGTATTCAAACGGGTATTAAAATCCAGTCCAGTTCACCAATCCTTCACAAAATAACCTGCAAAGCACACTTTCAGGCATATATTCTAAAAATATATAATTTACAGAGCCACCAAGCGCTTCCGTCAGAGCTCCGTTATCTTCCCGGCAAACTTCGCCGCCGCAAACGACGCTGCCTCCCCCGGCTCTGACAGCATTTTAACCACCTCCCTCATCGTCGGCCGGGCCTCGCTCGTCTCCTCCACGCACATCATCGCCACTCCATACAACTTTGAAATCTTCTCCACCGGCGCCGGCGATATCCGCCTGTCCGTCACCACCATCGCCGCCTCCTTATCATCTCCGGCCTCTGCCACCGTCTTTTTGACCCACCGGACAATGTCAACTCCGTCACCAAACCCGCCCACCGGCCTTCTGCCGGTTATTAGTTCCAAGAGGACCACTCCGAAGCTGTACACGTCACTCTTCTCGTCCACTCTCAGCGTGTAAGCGTACTCTGCAACCAAAATTTTTTTTTGTCAATTTTCTTGCACGGGTAATAAGACAAAGGTCTTCTTTATGGCGATGGGACCAGTCAGCCCGGCCCGCAGCAAATCCGTCCAAAATTAGAATTTGTTAACCGGGCAGAAGTCAACGTGCTTTGATTTTGCCAGAGGAGAACTGACAGGACGGTAAAGCCTGGCTCAGGATGAACTAAATTTTTTTTATCGTGTCAGTCATAGTTTTTTTATCCTATATAAAAATAATAAATATAAGTTGCTCGAAAATCTGATTACGCAAATTAATCATAAGATCGCTAAAATTTATCTAAAAAATTAATCGTAATATCATATAAAATATTATTTTTTAATTTCTAAAGTCAATAGATATTTTGAATTAGTATATATTCATTAAATTTAAATTGTTAAACTTAAGTTGAGATAAATATAAAATATAAATAAAATCTAGAAATAAATAAATGACTTTTAAAATTGTATTCTCATCCTCTTACTTCAATTACTTTTTGTTACTAAGATTAATTAAGAAAATTAAATAATAATAAAAAATATATTTATTTTAAAATTGATAAAAACAAAACCATTTTTAAATTTATAAATACAAGTTTTAATAAATTTAATCTTTTTTATTTTATTTTAAGCTTTACCCTAAAATTTATTATGCTACTTCATTCCACTAACAAAGGTCCCCAGCGTCCACTCCAAAATAACTTGTAGCACAGGTTTAAAGTGGATGATGGTTGAAAATTTGAACATCTCTAAACAACTTATTGGAATCATAATTTTATAAATTATAATAAGTTCATTCTCAAAAAATTTAAATCTCCCACAAAAATTTATTCTAAATTTTATCCGAAAAGACACAGAGATAGTTTGATGGACGAATGGATACCTGGGGCGATGTAACCATAAGATCCGGCAATGGAGGACATGCACTCAGAAGCACTGGAATCACGATGAAACTTGGCAAGGCCAAAATCAGCAACGTGGGCCTCAAAGTTAGAATCAAGAAGTATATTGTTTGATTTCACATCGCGGTGAATAATCAGAGGAGAACAATCATGGTGGAGATAACAGAGACCCTTCGCCGCCTCTCCGGCGATTCGCCACCGAGCATCCCAGCCAAGATGGGATCCCTTCCCGCCATGAAGCATCTCGCCAAGGCTGCCATTAGGCATGTACTCGTAAAGCAAAAGATTGGTATCGCGGTTCGAAACGAAGCCAAGAAGCCGGACGATATGTCGGTGCCGGATTTTGCCGAGAGTGGTGATCTCTGCCGTGAAGCCACGATCGTATTGTTCGCCGACGGCGCCGCCGCCACTGCAGCCGACGAGACGTTTGATTGCCACTTCGGTACCGCCGGCCATCGTGCCCCGGTATACGATTCCCGCGCCGCCTTTTCCAATGACGTTGTCGTCTTTCAGGCATTCGACAACGTCCTCCGCCGTGAACTTGAGACGTTGGAATGTAGTCATTCGCCATGCGTCCGGCCGGCGACGGCTGCGCCATGCTGACCAGGCCTTCGCGCCACCTGCTGCCAAGAGAACGACGAAAACGGATAGAAGAATCGTTAGTATGATTTTCTTTGATCGAGAGGTGTTGGTGGAGGAATCAGGGGAGAAGCGAGGAGAGGGGGAACAGGGGAGATGGAGACCGACGCCGCAAAGATCGGGGTTTCCAGCAAACCAGCTGGTATTGAACACGAGAAATTGGCCTTGGGCGGGGATCGGGCCGGAGAGGTCGTTAAACGATAGATCCATTATCGTGAGGCTCTGCATGCGCTGAATGTCTGGTGGAATTGCGCCGGCGAGATTGTTTCGCGAGAGATTGAGCGTGTTGAGGATTTTTAGCTTCGACATTTGCGTCGGGATCTCGCCGGTAAGCCTGTTGCGGCTGAGATCGAGAGAAACCAGCGATGTGCATTGAGTGAGTTCTTGAGGAATTTCACCGACCAGGTTGTTACCGCTTAGATTGAGCTTAGAGAGTTGGGAGAGATTTCCCATTTCTGGCGGGATATGACCGGATATCCGATTTGATTCGATGGAGAGGGTTTGGAGGCCCGGGAGATTTCCGATAGACGGAGGTATTGAGCCGGAGATCCAGTTGTTAGAGAGAAGGAGCATCCCAAGTTTTTCCCCTTTAATCACAGGTGGGAGTTCACCGGAAAGGTAGTTGTCACTTAGTTCGAGCATGTCGGCGGAGGGGAGGTCGAAGAGACCGGCGGGTATCTTTCCGTCGAAGTAGTTCTTCGCAAGTCGAACGCGAGTTAGGGATTTGCATCTGCCAAGCTTCTCGGGGATCTTGTCGAAGAATCCATTTTCCATTAAAACCAAAATTTGGAGCCTCCCGCCGAAACAGAGATCCGGCGGTATCGTCCCTGTCAGCCGATTTGTAGCAACGTCGAGTTTAAGAAGCCGGCCGTTCCGGCCGAGATTCTCTGGCAGCTCGAATGTGAAGTTATTTTCCCAAAGCTGAAGCACCTCAAGGTTCGGAAACTCTCCGACGAACGGTGGGATACGGCCATGGAAGTGGTTTCGAAACAAGTTGAACAGCATCAGTTTCTTCAGCGCTGCGAAGCTTTCTGGAATTTCACCAGTCAGATCATTCACTGAGAGATCAAGAGACTCGAGATTCTCAAGCCCACCGAGCTCCGGCGGAATTGGCCCGGAGAGACGGTTTAGCTGGAGGAACAGCGAGTCGAGTAGCTTGAGCTGGCCAATCGTCGCCGGAATTGTGCCGGAAATGTTACAATTGCCTATATCGAGGCGAATTAATGACGTAAGCAATCCAAACTCCGGCGGAATTCCTCCCTCGTAAAGATTGAAATACCCGATATACATCTGCTGGAGCTTGGACAGCTTACTAAGGCTCGACGGAATCCGGCCGGATAGTCCATTTCCGTTTAGACCCAAATACTCCAAATTCTGAATGTCCGAATAAGCGTCTGGAATCGCGCCGGTGAAGTAGTTACCTCCGAGATGCAGATATCGTAGATGAGGTAGACCAGCGACGTCGAGCGGAAGCGGACCTGAGAAATTGTTGTTATACGCGTCGAGCACTTCGAGCGCCATCATCCCGCCGGCGATATCCGGGAATTCACCGGTGAAAAAGTTGTTGGAAATGTTAAGCAGTCGGAGCGACTTCAAGCCGGCTATCTCCGGTGGAAGGCCACCATGGATTCCAGCGCCAGAGATTGTGAGATTAACAAGGCGGTCTAGGAAAGAAATCTCCGGCGAGAGCGTGCCATTTAGCGGACAGAAGGTGATATTAAGCGCGACCACACGAGAGTCTCGATCGCACGTGACGCCGGAGAAACTGCATGTATTCCCGTCTGCCTCGTTCCAATCACGAAGGCCCTTCCCACCAGGCCCTACCATGGCGGCCTTAAGCCGAACAAGCGCGCCGTGGTCTCGACCCGGCGAGCCCGAAATTAGAGGAAACCATGAGAGGAGCACAAAGAAGCAAAGCCAAACACTCATCTTTCTCACTTGTCTTCGTTCGAGGGGAGTGCGCGGGAGAAGAAGCGATGAATAAATCATAATGGAGCGGTGAAGAATCAGAATCAAGTTTGCGTTAATGGTGAGAGAATCAGAAACAGAAAGTAGAGATAGAGACCGAGGGTGACTGGGTGAGTGCGTGCATGCATACTGGTGGTGGAGGGGCTGGTTACGTGACCGCGGGCAGTGTGATGATTTGGGGAAGACGGAGATTAACGGAGGAACGTTAGCTCCGTTTCGTACTGTGAGGGACGTGACGACGCGGTGTGTCAATTGTCAGAAGTCAGAGGGCAGAGGTGGCGGGAGGAAGTACGGCACGGCGGCAGAGCTGAAGGTCTGAGGGCGAGGTTTTGACGGCGTGAGATGGAGGGGATTGTAGTGGATTAGGTGATAGGCGGCATCATTTAGCTGCGTCCAGTCACTCGGCAGTACCATCTCCAGGAATTAGGGTCCCATCTTTCGTGGAAGAGAAAACTTACCTTTTTTTTTACATTAATACATTTATAATTGGCATACTTCCACTTTTATACTATTCAAATACTAATTTTTTAGTATAGCCTTTTATAACTTCCCTTTAAAAGAAAAATATTATGATATAAAATAATATAATATTATTATTATCTATCATGTGGCATTAAAATTTATTGTTATAAAAAAATTTATGATGATTATTTTTTGTTATGATATAATTATTATTTGTTGTTTGAGTCAACTCCAATCAAAATTAGTCAATTGGATAATTCTAAAATTAGTATCAAGACAATTGAATTATGTGAGAATTCCCCAAAAAAATTATTATCTGAGAATAGTACTTGTATAAATAATTATTAATAATTATGAGAAATATTATAGATAATATTCTCCAAGGAAGGAATTTTAAGCTTAAAAAGCGATTTATATCTTTTGAAAATTCTTATGAGCTAAAATTGGTGAATTAAGGCATGTGTGGTAATTTTATTTGCATAAATATGATGATGTCATGACCTCATTTGCAACACAATTATGTCTTATACGAATCATGCTTTATTTTTTCAAAGTCATTATCATAAGATAATCCACACTAAAACTTTACATACATCAAAGTAATGTCTAATATTACACATATTACAGTCTCATATCTAACAACACTTGTGCCATGAATTTGGTTGGATTGTAAACGCTATGATAGCAAGATTTATGCTACAAGTTTATTTGCATTAAATCTCATTTGTATTGTATGAATCAATCTCCCTTATGACATGTAATGTGTAGAAGTTAATACTTCTTGAACAGCAGTGAAAGACCGAGAAGGAAGAAGACAGAACTTGAACTTTTATTATTATTTTTCCTTACCTACATACAAGCGGCTGACGCCTATATATAATCTATTCTAGTGTTAGTAGAGTACACGTGTAAGTTGATCATTGGTACAATATACAAAGTAATATAAATAACTTCCTTAACATAAGGTACATAACGTGCATACCATTTGTCTTGTTCGAAGTCAAAATGAAAATATCGGTTGCATGAAAATTGACTCTGAAAAATCAATAATATAATCTCTCTTGTATCATATTGATCAATGAATAGATTTGTTTGATAAAGTCGCATATATCATAGCTACCCATGACAAAATTTATGATTTGCCCCCACTGGCATCATAATCAACTCTAATAAGACTTTCATTATAATCAACTCTAACAATATATTTATCATAGCTTTTTCTAGTAAAATTTATGTTATAAACTCACTAGCTTCATAAACATCTTCTTTAAGACCTATGCCTCAATCATCTAATATATATAAAGCTTGTATAGTGACAGAACTACGATCCTCATCAAGATTTATTTCTACCGCATTTGAAATCAACATTAGTAATAAGCTATTAATATTTTAAACCTCATTATTTTGTAGGAGATCTTATATACTTATTCCAAAAATTTTATGTATTTACAGATAAAATGACTAAATTTTAATGAAAGTACAAATATAATAATATTTATTTTATTTTAACTAAATTAAAATTAATAATAATCTATTTTATTTTATCATTTAGATATTATATACAAATTTAGAGATCAGATTCATATATTGGTCGATTTGATAATATAAATTTAGTATAAATATTTGATCATCTAAATCCAAAATTATAATTAAAAAAAATAAAATTTATATTACCTTAAATGCACCATCTTAATCCAGTCAGCTGGTGCGGTTCCCGTGAGAGATGCCTTCAGAGTACCGAAGTAGATTTGGCTTTCTTCTTCTTCTTCTTCTTCTTCTTTCCACAGCGGAGAAAGTCTTCCTCCTGTTTGTTGTTCTATTCTTGCCTTTTGGCTGTGAGGATCCAAGAAAAAAAAAAGGTGAGGTGGTTAAATATTTTGGTCCGTTTAGTCGGTCGCCGGAATTCCCAATTGGTTAGAATTGAATGGGAAAGGAGAATAGATTCTTGCCTGCAGAATGGGAATCGACTTTTGCCTTTTAGTGGGGGATGGATCACCCACCCTTCTTTGTATGAGTGGGTTTAGGGTTTATTAATTGCATTCTATACTGAACTTAGTGGAAGAATAGCGTTCGTTAGGGGGTTCGTCTTGGTACAAAGTTAGAGATAGAGAGAGAGAGAGAGAGAGAGAGAGAGAGAGAGAGATTTTCTCTTCTTGATTATTACATGTTGTGAAAGACATGACTATAAAATTAAATATTTATAGTATATCATTATTTTTTATTTCATATATGCATATGCAATTATGATGAAATCTAAAAGATAGATTTTTAAGTCATGAAGAAAGTCGGGGATATATTATGTTAGAGATGGAAGGCCTTCTAACACTCTTTATAATGCAACTTTATTCAATATTGATAATTACTTAAAATGTTTAGTAATATAAAGTATAAAATCCACCAAGGTTTAGGGTGATTGGTGGGCGAACATGGTAGGAAACCTCCCATTCCAGGTTCGAATCTCCTCTACGGTGGCCTCGCCTCTTTAGTGAGACAAAGCAAGTGTGTGCCCGATGCCAATGGGTAGCCTCGCTAGGTTTCGTCGAGAGATTAGTTACACCATCAAGCACTTCCTTTGGAGTAGCGGCGAGTAGATACCCTTTGTTTTCATAAATGAAGTGGAGGTATATCTTAAATTACATCATTTATTGATAAACTAATTTGAAGTAGTGAAAAATACAATTAATTTCCATTAAAAAAAATTAGTTCGATTAGCAAGCCAATTAGAACATTTTTTTCAAGGTATTAAGGGTGGTTAAAGGATAAAATACCAATTAATCCTAACTCTAATATTGTCATATTGGACAAGATTAGCCCAATTTTAGTCTAGCTTAATTTGATTTGAAAAATACATTAATTTCCATTAAGAATATAAATGATGATAACTATGAATCTTAAGAAAGAATTATGTAAATTCTAAATTAATTAGAAGATTAAAAGGTGAATCAAACATGGATAATTTTAGTCTAGCTTAATTTGATTTGATCATGCCTTATATGTTTCTTAGATAAATATATATTATGTTATCATCACAAGGGAATAATATTTATATGGCTAAGTACAATAATTTAAGTCATTTGAGTGAAATAATAATAATTGGACAAGATCAGCCCAATTTATTTTTAAAAATATGATAAAGATTGTAGAGCATAAAACATTTTATTTTTCAATGATATTAATATTTAGTCCACATTATTTCTTAGGATTTAGGGTTATTAAATCAAACAATGCATGACATAAGCATTTTAGTGGGGAGAGATTCTTTCTTGTTAGTCCAAGATTATTGTAATTAATTAGGCCTAAGTTATTAGTGGAACTCGGCCTGATTTGAAGTGACAATTATTCCTTTCTATCAGATTCTCTTCTTCTGCACCATCATTAACAAAATAATTAATTCTCATAAAAGCTACAATTAAGTTGCTAATACACTTATATAGAACAAAAGACAGCTATAATTAAACATTTAAATAGAATTAGTGCTTGAGGAATGTTACACATTTAGCTTACTGAAGATTACAATTTATCAGTATCAATTGTTGTTTAAATTAATTCCTAGTGCTCGTCAGATTCCCATTTTTTTCCTTTTATTTGGCTTGAAAAGTTAGAAGAGATGCAACTCGCTTTTATAACTTGGTTAAGAGCTTAGATTTTTTGCTAAAATAACTCGGGATCAAGATTTATATGTGTTGTATGTGTGGATTTTTAATTAAATTAAATTAAAATTCAAATAAAAAGAAGTTAGAAAAGTTCCCCCATTTAGAATTGAAGATTAATGAGCTAAACAAAATTAATTAGCTACTTAATTTGATACCAAACCTCTTAATTATAATTTTTTTAATGAGATGCTAATATAAATATGATAATATATAGGGGTAATAAGGCCAATATTAATAATGCAATTAGGTCTATCTAGAAATGTCAAGTCTTCCTTTTGTGCTCTGCCATTGTCTTCAGCACCACTCTTTATAGTGTGATTGATTAATCAAACAGAATAGACAGCCACAAAGTATTTAAATATTTTTTATTGTGTGAGGAGGAAAGTGACAATTTGGCTAAAATTTGTGAGGATTCTCAAAGAATAATTATAATACCGTATCAATTGGTGCTTAATTTAATCCCAGTGCCCATTCGGCATTTAAAACTAAAGATTAATGTAATTTAAATAGACTAATCACTGGTTAATTAGACCTCATATTCATAATTAAAAAAAAAATGAGTTTCTGAATTCACAAAAGCTTTGTTTGGTTGCAAATACAGTTAGTATGGGTGGTTCAAGATATTCTAATACAAAATATATCATAATAAATTTTAAAAACTTTACATTTAGCTAAAATTAAAATAATTAAAAATATTATATACAACATTAATTACAATTTAAACTCAAAATTTGAAGCCTACTTTAAAGTGATTTGTATTAATATATATATATTAACACACAATAACACACGATATCCTCTTAGTCATTTGCAGGTATTTATCTCTTAACCTTAGATCCTAAGTACCTTTATTTTCCTTAGCATGAACTACCAAGCAATATTATATGTCTAATAAAGGTTTCTCCTTAACATGATAGTGAAGTGTAAATCATGTCTGTTAGCCTACGACTAGGTAGGCATTCTTAATTTGCAAGATCTCCTTTGATTAGGTAAACCATCGTTGCTAATAGGGAACCTCAAGACACAATATGACTAAGTAGATCAAAGGCCCTAATGACTAGAACAATGGCATGTGAACTTGATCGAGATGATGCACATTATAAATATTAAAAATTGGCACTCATCAACTTTGTTGTCCGTCTCCACTAACAGTATCAATGCAGACAATCGTTTATAAGGTCGATAAATATTATCGACACAAATGTTGATGCATGTCTTGTCGTCTGCCTTCTTCAACAAAGTCGATACACATTGTTTATAAGACCAATGCATGTCATCACCACTAACATCGATATTTGTAGACTTGGTTGCTTGTCGTCTCCAACAACATTGACACACTTCTATCACTATTAAATCTCTCTCAACAACTATGAATCTTGACACAATAACAAGATTTATGTAGGATCATATTCTCCAATATCTCTCATAGAAAAATTGTCAAATAGACTACAAATGATTTCTTGAATATAATTTCAATGCCTCAATGCTCCTTAAACTTCCATTATATAATTCATCAACCATAATTCATGTCTACAATATTATATCAATAAGTTCCTCAATTACAAGGAAATGCATCATTTCTAACCTACAACATATATTGGTAGAATTATTTAACTGGGTTGGTTGGATCCCGTGATACTTCCCTTTTAAAAATTTTCATATATATAAAATATTTGATGTCTGTAACAACATTTTTTTATCTATATGCATAATAGATCTTCATAAAAAGAATTTTTTCTCTACCCCATAATTTTTTTAGAACATAACAAGGGTTTACAGCGATTTTGGAAATGAAAATTCAAAACGCTAGCTTGATGTTCCATGCAAGATAGATCAAACCATTTTTTTATGCGAGATTCTCAGCCAATATTGAGGATCGCCTTTCAAGATTTGCAGCGAGCAGACGACCGCATAACAAGTCTCTTCCTTTTTAAATTTTCAGCTTTACATCCCGCCAATCGACTCCAACGGCTCTCCATGATCTCTGTTGCCCGAAGCTCGCATAAAAAGCTCAGAACCCAACTCTTACGCGCAATCTCTTCCAACTGTACGAGCCATAGATTCCTTCTCAAATCTCTGCACGCCTGCGCATCCAAACCAGAGCCGTCCTTCGCCGCCAAAGCCATCCGATCGATCTGTAGAGAGGGTGATATTTTTCAAGCCAGAAAACTGTTTGACGAAATTCCTGAGAAGGATGTTTTCTCTTTTTCAGCCATGATTTATGGCTATGCGAGCAATGGATTCTTCTCCGAATCGCTTCTCCTGTTTTATCAGATGCAGATGCAGGAGTTCAACATCTCTCCCAACGCTCACGCCTTTGTTGCAGTTTTACTTGGCTCTGCAGGCCAAAGGAACTTCAAGTTCACCAAATGTATTCATGGAAGAATCATCAAAACTGGTTTGGAATCCAATACGTTCGTGAGAACTTCTTTGCTGAATTCATACTCTAAATGTGGAGTAGCTATTGATGCTTATAAATTATTTATTGAAATAGAAAGTCCAAAGCTTGTTTCCTGGAATGCTATGATTGCTGGATTTGTCTTCAATTGTGAATTTGAACAGGTTTTCTGGTTATTTGAACTGCTTCTAAAAGCCGGCATCATGCCTAATTGCATCACCATGATGAGTGTTACTCAAGGCAGCATTGGTCATGGCTCATGGAGACTATGTGAAAGCATTCATGGCTATATTGTTAAGGCTGGGTTTGAGTCTAATATCTCCTTGATGAATTCAGTCCTTGATATGTACTCGAGTTTTCGGAGTTTAGATTCTACTAGATGTTTCTTCATGAAGATGACTACCAAGGATGTTATTACTTGGACAAACATGATGAGTTTTATGATAGAGCTTTCATGTCCTGCTGAAGCTTTTCAACTATTTTCTCAGATGAGAAGTACTGGAATCAAAGCTGATGTGGTTTCCATGGTCAGTGTTATCACTTCTTGTACACTTTTGGGAGATCTAGCAAAAGGTAAGACCATCCATGGCCAAATTATGGCCTATGGATTTGGTTCAGAGCTTCCTGTAATGAATTCTCTGATAACATTGTATTCCAGATGTGGAGATATATGGTCAGCTAAGATCTTGTTTGATGATATAGTTAATAAGAGCTTAGTATCATGGACCGCAATGATGTTTGGGTATTTATGCAATAGGCAGCCTAGAGAAGGGCTTCATTTGTTGATTAGAATGAGAAGAAAAGAAGCTTTTCATCTTGATTCAGTAACATTGATTTGTTCTTTAGCATCTAGTAGTGAGATGGCTAGTCTTGCGTTTTGTAAGGAACTTCATGTTTATAGCTTGAAATCAGGTTTAATACTATATGTTAATGTGCAGAATAGCTTGATGATTGCATATGGGAGGTGCGGTTATGCTGATATTGGTTTTAGAGTATTTAAAGAGATGATTCGTAGGGATATTGTATCATGGAATGCAATGATATATTCATATGGGATTAATGGAGAAGGACAAGAAGCAGTTGCTCTATTTCAGGAGATGGAGAGCTGCGGCGAACCGCCGGACAGTATCACATTTGTAAATGTTTTGAATGCTTGTAGCCACTCTGGGATGGTGGATGAGGGATTGATGGTTTTTGAAAAGATGTTGAAGGAGAAGAGAATCAGACCAAGAGAAGAGCATTGTGGGTGCATTGTGAACATGCTTGCTCGCGCCAATCGATTGGAGGATGCAAAGAAATTGGCAGATTCGATGCCAGAAGAGGTTAATTCAAGTGTTTGGAAGGCTTTGCTTGGCGGGTGTCGGATTAATACGGATTACAGGTTTGCAGAAGTTGCTGCAGAAAGGGTGTTTGAGATCGCTTCCGATGATGCCAGCCATTTTGTTTTGCTTTCAAATGTTTATGCCTCAGTGGGGAGATTTGATCATGTTGAAAGTTTGAGAAATGAAATTCGAAAGAAGGGTTTGGTTAAAAATATTGGATTTAGCATGGTTGATAATGTGCCTCATGGAAATGTTGAAGGTGGAACTGCTTGATCTGTTGTAACCAAGGAAGGCTTCTGCCATTTGGTTCTATGTTGAGGAGTTGAGATAATGGAGACAATGAAGGGGGCCTTTGTCCAGCAAAAGAATTAAAATTATTTTTGGAAAATTGTTGAAATATTGGATCAATTCAAGTTGTCCATAACTTGGAACTCATCAAGCATGAAGTCGCTTAAACTCTTCCTCATCTAGAGTCTAAACTCACCAAGTTGCCCGGGGGAAAATTCTACTAAGCTTTTAGTACTTGGATATTGAATTAACCGAAGGAATTAAAGAATTCGCCTACTCACTTACATAATTCTCAAGAAGATCTTGGTTATCCATTCACGGTGCTCACATGTTAATCAAGAGTTAAAACCATAACTCACTCAAGGCTCTCGCCAAAAGAATTTGTCAAAGGTATCCGTCCACTATTTGGAACTTGCTTGAAGTTCTCATCTAGTGAACAACTAGTTAAGTTCACTCGCATGAATATCAACTATACCGAGCCTATTTATGTACCTTTCTTATTTATTTTTTAATATAGCTCTTCCCATGCCACTGAACTAGCTCCATCACTTGTAAGTAGAGGTTGATTAATTAGGTGTAGGCATAATTGAATCATGTACTTTTGAGGGGGCCAAAACCCTATCCCTTATGATTTTCCCAAAATTTCTATCCAAATAATCAACTACAAGTTTGATTTGACATGCTATTTCTCTATTGAAGAGGTCAACCACATCTCCTATAAATCCAAATCACTTCAAAAGAATCTCTAAATATATCCTCTCTTCTATCCCTTTCTTTGGACTCAATCAAAATCTACAATAGTCTTAGTGTGACTTCCAAACAACATTGAATCCAACGCAAGAAACTTTTTAAAAGAAGCAATGGAAGCTCTATATTGTTGAGCTTTCGAGATGATCTTTCATACCCAGTAAGGTTATTGCTATGACACTTGCTTGCTAATGTAAATTGCACTCTCAATTATTGGCTCACATGGGATTGTTTGACACAAGAAGCAGGGCATGGACCAGTGTTTGCATGCACTCTATGTTCTGCAAGAATAAGTTCTTGTTAAACTCTATTAATTTGTGGAAAATATTAGGTTTGAAGTTTTCACTTGTTATGTCTGTTTTCTTACACCAAATTGCCAAACATTATTACTGGATTACATTAATTTGCATTATATATATATATATATATATATATATATATATCCAAAATAGTTCCACAACTTATTTTAGAGGTAATTACAGCCAACCCAAAATATACCCTAAGAAAAAAATGCCAATGCAAGGATAAGCAAGAGAATTGAAGGAAAATTACAAGCTAAAGGTTTAGTCATTTAAAGAATGACAAAAAGAACACAAGCCTATGTGTTAATCAAGTTGCTAACAATTCTAAGAACCAAAAGTTCCATTCATCTAAATTCCAAGCCATTCATGATTTAAACTAACTTCTCACGATTGGGTATTACGGTTAAAGATCTTATGGTGCCAAGAGCTACCTCAGCCACTATCTCTCATTCATTTACAGAATGAGCATGGGAAATTATATTGGGGCTTTCTATGTAACCTTGTTGGAAAATTATAAAATCATAATTTTAATATTAACAAACCTAAGCTAGCTCTCCTCTTCCCATCGTTCCCTGGATATCTCACCTGAGTCAACAATAATCACCTTCTTCCTTGGTTTACCATTGTAGGTACCTGCTCCACCTTCTATGGCATAGACTGTGTCCATTCCCTGTAATACCTTCCCAAATGCCACATGCTCCCCATCCAACCTACAGAGACAATAAAGAAACGCTAGTGCATCAGATTTCTGAAAGTTCTAGGATAAGAAAGATTATTAGGTGCAGATTCCATACATTGCTCTAAAAGTGAATAATTTGTGTACTCACAACACTACTGAGTACAATTTTTATTCCATTCTTTTGGTGTATGCAACGTGTTAACTGATTACTCGGTGTATAGTCACAGCAAGTTCATAGCTGTCTACTCCAATACTCCACACCTAGGCTTCGTTTGGGACGGCTTTTTTACTGTTTTTTGAAGCAGTAAAAAAGCCATCCCAAACGAAGCCCTAAAACTACGGTATGTAATCTGCACTTAATAACTTCTAGTATGATAGGTGGCACATACCAGCTAGCCTTCACTGATGTTATGAAAAACTGTGATCCATTGGTATCAGGCCCAGAATTTACCATGGATACAACACCTGGAGGAAAGATGCTAATTTTAACAAGCAAGTAACCCAAGACTTCATGATGAGTAGTAGCAGTTGCAAAGAGACGAAGTAGATAGTTTAAACAAATTAAAATTAGAAAAAAAAAATGCATCAGGTAATTGAATTTCAGATTTTTTTTTTCTCTCTTATTTTTCCTTTTAGTTTGATTTGAGTACCTTATTCTACAAAATTGTAGGAACTGTAAACCAAAGTCAATCTAATCAAAATAGTATTTGATGGAACAAACATTAACAATAATAGCAATATACTTCATTTTCGATTTTTCGCTATATGTAAAAATAAATTTAATATTCCTTCACATGTTTCCTTCTATTAAAGAAGTTTTTATAGAAATGTAGCAAGCAGTCCAGATGGCACCTGAAATGAACCACAGCTTATTTGCACCGAAACTAAAAGATTGACCAATGTGTACTAAAACAGCACTGCAAATTATCAAAGAAAAAAAAACCTTGAAATAGGAAGACAGGAAAATGCAATGAGAAATCTTAGTGAAGGCTTCTAGGGCATGTACCCCTCTTTCTCCGATCATCCACTTCCCTTGCCCGAAATGCCTCTAATAGTGGTTGGTCACCCTACCACCTCCACCACAAAATTCCCTCATTGTTATCCCCTCATCCATAAACCTGATTCGCACCTTATCTGAGCCCTAAGAGGTGGCTCTTGAAAAAAAAAAGAGGTGGCTCTTGATAAAAAATTGTGGGCTCCGAAAATTCGGTCCCGGCCTCCGCCCGCTTTTCTTTTTATACAGCGAGGGAGTTTTAACAGAATAAGTTCCGGGGTAAATTTTGAAAGGCAGATGAGTTTGTAGATAAGACACTACCTAGAGATTTCGCCCTCATTTTTGCGAGGACTTTATAATCTGAGTTCTGATTTATTATAGGCGCAAGCCCCTATAGTTAATTACCCCTCCCGATCACGAGAGAGAACTTTCGATTAAGGCTAGTCGAGGGCTTTGTGCCCTGTCAATCATATCCTATTGATTCATATCTCAAGGATTTGATGCCAATAAAGAACGTAACGACGCTGGCCATAACCGGTATTTCGTGGTGCCATTTGGCGACAAAACCACTCAGTTCAGAGGGCCCCGGGTCATAACCGTTTATCATGCGGTGCCATTTGGCGGCAAAACCGCCGGTTAGAGGACACATACCATGTCCTTAATAGCATGAGGTTGTTTGAGAATGGATCCTAGTGATATTTTCTACTAGGCATTTGGCTCTTTATGAGCTAAAGTTAAATTGAATTTGTCCACCCCGGCAGACTATTGCGGAGGGTGGATGGATTTTGCTTTAAGCGATTGATAGTTTATTTCAATTTTAAATATTTTTGGGATTTTGAGATTTTCTGGAGTTTTTTGAATTTTGTAGAGTTTTGGATTGTGGGCATTTGGGTGGAGCTTTGAAATATTTGAAATGAACTTTAAACATTTGGGAGACATTTGAAAATATTTGGGAACCCCTCCGGTTGAGATCTGCATTCAACACGGCCATCATCGGGGTGTTTGGGGACATTTTCTCTTTTGTAGCTTGAACCTTGTCGACTCTATGTCGACAGAGGATCGGGTTTCGTAGGCTTTGAGACTTTATTAGTGAATTCTTTTGATTGTAGGCCTTGAAGGCCTAATATGAATGCATTGAAATAAGTACTCCGGTCTCCACAACCGTGTATTTGTTTGAAAGTTCGAACCTTGTCGACTCCTATTGATCCGTATATAAGGATCGGGTTCGAACAAGAATTCACTTATTGACCCGCGTAGCATCCCTGGACATCACGTGTGTACCAATAACACGTTCGTCGGGGCCCATACGGGTGTTTGGCGGCATTTCATAATTGAACCCTGTCTACTCCTTTTTACCTGCTTAGGAGGATCATGTTCAAATTTAATAACCCGCGCAACATCCCTAAACGTCACTTGTGTACCAATAACACGCTCGCCGGGGCCCGTGCGGGTGTTGATTGTATACCCTCTTTTAGTGTACCTAAGTGTGTACAAACTACAGTGCATGTGCGAGGATATTTTGGAATATTCGTGAAACGCCTTCTGTCCGCTTCCAAGAACGTCGCGGATCCGGTGGCGCGAAGTAGCAGCTTCTGAATATAGTTGTTCGCCGCTTCGTACAGGTTGATTGTCGTACACTACTCGTTGCCTTCTGCAGGTGGATCATAGTGTACCAACTAATCTCCTGCCTTTGTAGAAGCTCGTAGGAGCTTGTATTCTTTATACATTCTGCTGTGATTTTGGTCTTTACAATACAGCCACTATTGCTAGAGGTAGTTCTATTCATCTTTAGACTGAAGTTGACTACAGGATAATGTATTTACTGTAGTCTTTATGCATCTACCCATGGATGGATGTTGTACATACATTTGTATTCGTAGAGGATTTATATGGATTGCAGATCTTCTGATGTTATAGAAGGGCCTTCGCATTTATCACAGTTCTTCTATATTTTGTATGTGAAGGATCTTCTACAACGACTTGAAGGAGTTTGCATTTGTCGTACTTCTTCATCCATATTTGTAGGCGGGATATTGGGTGTATAACAAACTTCCTACAGTAATTCATAAGTATTTGCATTTGTTGAATTCCACCTGCCTTTGCTTGCATGATCAACATAAATTTGCATACCAACTATCATCATTGGTAGGAAATTTAACTGCCAGGGATTTTGTATAATTCATTTGCAACCAAACTATACCTTCCCTCTGATTTTCTTTGCTTGTTGAGTTCAATGTATCTGTTTGTAATAGATTCATAGTTCTCACTTACATTTGAACCACAAGATATTACTACATCCACTTTTGTGAGTCATAATCTCTTGTAGGTGGTAGAAGCATTTGTTCTTCCCTTTGTTATAGTGGACTGTATAAATACCCCAACACTTGTTGCATGCTTCTTGTAGATTTGTTCAAGCCAATCAATTTTGCATGAACATTTACAATCATTTGTGAGTGAATGATACTACGACCTACATTGTCTTTAAACACAGCTTTTAGTCTACAAGGGACTTATATGTGGATGGCAATTTCAACATACCTTTTGCATCAATTGTTTGACATTGTGTTTCAACACAAGTCTCCTATTCATATGAATGGATGATATCTTATACATCAATTGATTCGTGGATCTCGCATTATCAGTTGTGAGAGAAATGTCTCACATATGAATTACAATATTCATTAAAGTAGCCTTGTGTATCTTATTGTAATTTAAATTACACATTCTTATTAACCAAAGATGGCATTTGAGTCCATGTCCAAGTTCAAGCTTCTTTATACTCATTTGAACTTGAATCCACAAGTCTTCTATTTATCCCAATGGTGAGCTCATATTCAAGTTCATTTAGCCTTTCATGGTTTGATTTGAATTCAGGCACTTTATTGTTTATGTCAAGTTAGAATGAATTTCAAGGTGAGTTTAGGCTCATTCATCCTTTTGAGTTTGAAACACAAGTTTAAGTCCAAAACATGTTCAGGCTCAATATGAGCCTCTTCCGCTCGTCGAGTCCCCTGCTGTTTTGCAAAGTTCAAGTCCAAACTCAAGTTCACTGTGCTTGATTCAAATCAAGTCCAAGTTTGTTCATTTGATTTCAAATTTGAGTTCAATTGAATCCAGGTTTTAGTCCAACTTGAGTCCAACTCAAGTCTTACACAAGTTCTTGCTTAAACCATTTAATTATTCAAGTTTGAACTTAGTTCAAATGATATCCAAATGAGTGTCCAAATAAGATTCAATATTTTTAAAGTCCTTGGATTTTCGATCCAAATTTCGGTAGCCTCCCGGCGTCTCCCTGTTTAGGGGAAAAAACCAAGAGGTAACCTTCCCCTCGATGCTACGTGAGCGCTTCAGGTAAGTGTCAAAAATGACACCACGGTCGCATATATATATTTTATCCCCGCCCGCTACGTGAGCGTTTAAGGATTTTTTTTTTTTATTATTATTATAAGAAGAAAACACATGTTAAAGATAAGCATAGATTTCCCCTCTGCACCACGTGGGCGTTCGGAGGTACTTATATAAAAAAAACATAATTTTTTATCTCCTTCGCCGCAAGCGCCTCACCGGTTTCCCTCCCTACAACGCTACTTGAGCGCGTAGGGGGTTTGCTGGCTCGTTGCTAGCATTGTAGGGGGTTTGACGGCCCGTTGCAAGTCACAATAAAAGAATCACTTTTATTATTATTATTTTTACATTAATTAATTATAATTAATGATAATTAATTAAGATTTTAAAGTAATTAATTATAATCAAATTTAAATAATCATAATTAATATTATATATATATCCTTCACCTAAGCTCGGGCAGGAGGCGGCTATGGGATCGGAGAAGGTAGGTCGGAAGAGGCGCGGGCAAGGCTGGAAGAAGAGCAAGGTCGGGTTAGCTCTCCTCTCTCTCTCTCTCTCTCTCTCTCTCTCTCTCTCTCTCTCTGCTTGTGGCTGGACCGAAAGAAACAAGAGGCAGAGAGGTCGGCTGGAGCTTGAGATCGAAAATGCAGTGACTTTCGATCCTACGGGTAGGAAAGTCGTGGGGATGAGAGGATCGAAAGTGGAGATTGATTGGAGAAGGAGAGTCGCGGGATGCAGAGGCCTTACGGGTTTGTGGTCGGAGACGAGGGAGATGCGATCGCCTGGGAGAGTCACGGGAGAAGAGCTCGTGGATTTCGGGAGGAAGGAGTTTGCGATCGTGTAGAGTCGAAGAGAGCAGCAACCGAAGGTCTTATTTGCTTCGGTATTTAACGACGCTTACGGGAGCGGGATCGAGGCGTTGTAGGATCGCAAAATTCTTGGGAAGCGATGGCGAACGGTGCCGAATCAGCGTAACCTCGGCAGGATTCATGGACCCGATGGTCTTGAGGTATGTATGCAAGATTTACGGTGTCTTCCTTTTTTTTGTTCTTTGCACAGAGGTTAACAAAAAAAGAAAAAAAAATAGAGTTGGCTCTTGATAAAAGAAATTCTCCTCATCAAACTTCTCTCATCCAATCTACTTTCCCTTAGATTTGGCCAAGGGAATCTCGATTAAATCTTGATTAGGGTTAGTAATCGAAATCGTTGTTGAAGTTTTGATTGCATCCCAATGAGCTTCCTCATCTTTTCCTCCATCCCTCCCAATCAGCTCTCCATAATAGTAAACCTTCCTTCCACGATTGAAAACCTTCCTTCCATGGTTGAGAACTTTTCCTCCATCCTGGATTTGATTTGCTCCACTTTGCCTTCCAACGCATCCACCTTCTTTCCTGTCATCTCTCCAAAACTTTGGTCTGATACCAATTTGTTATGTCTTGGAAGTAAAAATAACGAAAGAAACAAGTAGAAAGTGCAGGAATATGAAGATAAAGACTTTTTTTTTATTATCTCTTCAATAAGAAAGAAAGATACAAGTGATAACTATTCGAGAGGTAGATCAGCTCTCCCACAAATCCTAGACGCCGCTAGGAACAACTCCTAAGAAAATTACAGCAAACATAAATCACATAATGAAAATAAAATAACATAATTATCCTTAAATAAACCAATATATTTTTCTCCCAAATCTGAATTCAAATCAGCCTTTTCTCTTAAAAAAATCTTTCTAATTTCCTCCCAAATCTCAATTCAAATCAGACATCTTCCCCAAATAAAACATTCCTAATTCCCTCCCGAATTTGAATTCAAATCAGCATTTTTCCTTAAATGAACCTTTCCTAATTTCCTCGCCAATCTAAATTCAAATCAGTCATCTTTTCCTAAATAAACTTTATTAATTATATCTCTCCTAATTTCTCCTCCTTACGTAGCGAATATTAACTCCCCTGGGCCCCACAAGATGGGCCCCCTAGCGTATCAGAGGCATTTTATGTTATTAAGTGGTAGATGAGGTTCTTGTATAAATCTCCTTATGTTGGAAAAAATATCCATAACAAATTTATTCTCTATATTTTCCGTCAACAAGCATCCATATAAGAGAAGTACATTATTCAGAAGGAAATGTGCCACAGTTTACAAAGGAATGGATTTGGTTTGTGTTTAGCCCTTTAAAGAAATAAAATACTGAAGCGGATTGATATTGTGCAAGTTTTGATATATATCATTGATAAAAGGATAATAAATTTTATTATGAAAATAAAGTAAAAAAAAAAATTCCGATCTTTATGTCATGAAATGTCAATAAGTCCAGCGGATTGACATCATAGAAATTATGAGTGCATGAAGAAGCTTTTTAAACTTAACAATATGAAAGGAATATGGAGCTAAATATTGGTAAGAATACATAGTAATGAAGCCTGAAGAAATAATGATTATTCACCTATAAAAGTGAAAAATGCATCTAAAAACAAGAACGTTAATCTTTTTTTAATTTAATTTACTTTGTATGAATTGCACCTTTAAGAGAGGATATTTTAGTTAAGGCTAGTGCAGCTGAAGACAGAAAAAAAAAATCATACAGATCCAGACCTGCATGAGAGTGCTTTATGATGAAATTCTCATCAGGAAAAGTGCCACCATATATGGATTCACTGCCTCTACCATCACCGTAAGTGATATCGCCACCTTGAATCACAAAACCAGAAACTATGCGATGAAAAGGTGTTCCCTTGTAATGAAGAGCCTTTCCATGGCCCCCCCTGCCCTTCTCACCTGAAGAAGGGAATGGAATTTCATGCATCTCTATTAAGTAAAGATATTCTAAAAGCCTCTTGGAATAATAACCTAATTGCGCTCCAAGGAAGAGTAAGTATTCATAAAAAAACTAAATATCAGAAGAAAAAGGGGGAAATATGAAAGCTTATTCATCCCGATACCTGTACAAAGTGATCTGAAGTTTTCTACAAACCAAAAAAAGATAAGCATTAGTAAACATACTAAAACAATAAATAGTGAAAGGACTTATATTCACATTAAGCACGTAAAAATGAAGAAAAAAAGACATGATATCACATCAAATAAGAGTTAAAGTGGGTGTGCTAGAAGTAAGAATTATTAAGGTGCATTTCATATTTCAAAAATGTCTTGAGTATAGTTAAAATAGAAAAGTCAGCAATCATAAAGAAAATTAACAAAATACAAATACTAAAAGTTAGCACTCGAGAAAAAGCAGGATGCAATGGAAAAGTATAGAAAATGTCTGACTTTAGGCAATTTAAATTGTGTGAGTTTAATGCCAAAGGAAATTTATGATAGAAACGGAATAAGGACCTGAAAGGAAAAAACTATCAAAAGAGTGGAGATTAAACTTCCCAACTCCTGGTTATTAACTGGAATGTTGCGGCTTCTCATTAATTGAAAAACAAAGTTATAGAATAAAAAAGAAACCGAAGGACAGCAACACTATGATACGCCTTAGGTTTCACAAATTAGGGTTTGCCCTAATTTTCCTTCAAGATGAAATTTCTCCTCCAAATCCAAGAAAAAAATCAACACAAGAGGGATGAGAGGAAGAATAAGAACATTTGCATTCAAAATCCAAGAGAAACAAGATACAATTTGTCCACTTCGAGAAGGACAAGGTCTCCCACTACAAACCCTAAAAAAACAAGAGAAAAACTAAGGAGGCTAAGAGAAAACTCAAATCTTGCATAACCCTAGAAATCCCCCCTTAATCCCTACTTATAGCAAGCAAAGGACCAAACCAAACCCACTAGTGGGCTGCTCAAGCTGAACCGCCCAGCTCAGGCCAGACCCGAGCCAAACCGGTCCAGAAACGGACCGGTTCCGCTCAAGCCGAAGCCCCCGCTCCGCCGAAGGCCCCGCTCCGCTCTGCGTCACGCTCCGCGCCCGCGTCCCTCCGCGCGATCCTTCGGCGGATCGGCCGACGCGGCCCTCCTTCCCGGCCGCTTCCGAGCGCTCCGAGGTCGCCGACCCTCCCTCTGCCGGTCGGCGGCGGCCCGCATCACACTACAAAAAAGAAAAATCAAGCAATAGCTCTAAAAATATTTTTAGGAAGATTTAAGGCCCTCCTATTCTCTTAAAACAAGATGTGCCTAGTGTCCATGACTAGGATCCATCCAAGAATATGCTTGAGATAATGTAATGAACCAGACTGATCTATCATCCTTAGCAGTATTTGTAAAACATATTTTGTTGCATTCACTCTCAATACTCCAAAAGAACCGAGAGTAGGAAGATATCCTAAATTTCTTCATCAATATCTTTAATAAAGTTCTCACTACAAAGATTGAAAAAAGAATCGAGAGATAAGGTAGTACAGAAACCTCTAAGAGAGAAGTATCCAACAAATGTCATATAAGAAGCTACAATCGAAAGCATATGTGAATCATCTCCGGAAGAGAATTGCATATGAAAAAAGTAGAAGAAATCTTAAGGCTCAAATGTGAAAATGAATTTTAAGGGATCTTTCCCAAAAAATAATCCATCCAAAGAAAACTACTTTCAAGCAGACTAAGGCCTTAGAGATCCAATAAAAAGATGTAAGAATAGATTCATGCATTAGGAAAGAATTAAAAAAAAATTAACTGAATAACGAACAATAGAGGGAAAACATCCATATTGGAAAGTCAACATTTGAATTCAAATGAAAAGGAGCAATCCAAAGATTTATAGTTTCAGAAAGAACAACATCAAAAAGCAGATATGTGGAAAATTCATAAATAGTTATGAAATTAGTTGAACAAAAGTATTTATTACTCAATATAGTCCTACTTTTATCTACATTGATATTTCAGGCCAGGTAAATAAACAAGGCTATTAATATAATTTCTATTTTCATGCTTCAATATGATTACGCATAGCAATTACTCCTATCATAAAACGAAGTACCTAGCATGCCAACATAGTTAGACACCCTATAAGAAATGAATAAACAGAAACGATGTCATTTCAACCCCCCACCCATGATGCAACATAATTATTAAAAAAAATGTCCTAAATTTTAATGTATTGGCTATGTTTTCTTATTTATAATGGCATGGGTTCCTTCTTTAGAGTCGGATCGTATTTTAGGAAAATAATTGAGTTATGAGTCTATAAAAGAAGTGTTAGTCTAGAATTAGTTATCATGTTTTGATAAATTATAATATTTTGGTTTATTGCCTCTCAATTATGGCTCCTTACATCTCTCCCACATCTCTTCTCTATTGCTTCACTATTTTCTCTTCACCTCCCCAATCTCTCTTTATCTATATCTCTATCCCCCCTCCTCTTTTCCTTCATTAATTTATCAGAGAGAAACCTAGAGCCTACTACTACAACGTTGCAAACTGCAATCACTTATAATTCCACAATTACTCCAAACTCTGCATCCCATCCCATTTGCCGCATGCAATCACACGACCCTCTTCTATTTTGGATCACATATCTTGTTTGCTTGCCATCAAGTCATACCCAACCCCTTGCTAAATAAAGTAGCCATCCTGCATCTCCCTTGGCACTCATCCACTTGCTACTTACAGCTCTTACACACCCAAACCTTGTTGTCTGAAATCACATATGCCCTAGCCATTAAGCCACATCATAACTACAATTACATATTTTTCATAGCATCATCATGCATCATCTCCCGCATCTAGATCAACGGCTTCATACTTTGCATCTTTGACGCATGTAACCTAAAATCACCCATCGCTAACCCACCCATTGGACAATTGCTCATCCACACATCCCCGTTTACTCCATCAAACCAGTTCATCATTTCCCATTGCTAACTCCATAATATCCTCCTTCATCCCAATTAAGTTTCATCTATTACATGTATTATTCATCACATCCTTAAATGTTTGTTTGCATACAAACTTTGCTAATTCATTAACCCATCATTTTGTATGGTCGCATGCAAATTGCAATCAACAAACCTACAAATAACCAACGCAATCATAGACCACATTGAAAAATATGAAACAAAAAAAAATCAAATTCACTCCACACGCACTTAAATTAGATCCAAGTCAATTTAGCATTGTGCGTGTAGACCTTAAAGCTTCCAATATGTTCTTTTAAAGATGTAGTAATGTTCTCAAGAATCAACAAGTCTTCTAATGATATTGTGGATGGTGGTGATAGTAATCCCCATCGTCTATTTTTCTGTGAGATAGTTTTTCTAATTCTACATTTCAATTGAAGGACGTTAATGTTTTCTCCAAAAAAAAAAATTGTAACTATCTACAATAGAGTTCTTTGCAACCCTAGAAAATTGATGCAACATAATTATTGAATAAATATCCTAAATTTTTGCATATTTCAAATATATTCTCTGCTATAATATATGGACACTATTTCAAGTCATATCATATTTTAGTTAAGCAATTGAGTGTTGAGTTCATAAAAAGAGCACTAGCTAGGGCTGTCAAAACTGGGTCAAGGGTCGGGTTCAGGTCCAACCTGAAATTGACCCGACACTATTCAACCCGACCCGTTTTTGCAAACGGGTCGGTTTTCCGAACCCGAACCCGACCAGCTTCGGGTCCGGGTCAAACCGAACCTGACCCGATTCAGATATATTTTATTAAATTTTTTTTATTTAATTCAATTTATTTAAATCTAAATCAAATTAAGGTAAGATTTACTTCAATTAATTTAAAATAAATCAAGATTAATTTAATTTGGGCAATAATGTTTATAAGTTTTTGAAATAGCATTTACTTATTTCATAAAAATCCATTAAAACCCTCCTAAGTTAATTAAAAACGGGTCAAACCGGGTTGATTTCGGGTTTCCGGGTCAACCCGAACCCGACCCGATTTTGCAAACGGGTCGAAATCCCTAACAACCCAACCCGACCCGGTTCGGGTTGACCCGAACCCGAAATTTTTGGATCGGGTTCGGGTCGGATTTTAGAGTCGGGTCCAATATTGACACCCCTAGCACTAGCCTTGTATTAGGGATTATATATTGATGAATTAAAATATTTTGGTTTACTAGTCAACTAGTAATTGCTACTTCCTTGTTTAACGTATCTCTTTTATTTTCCTCTGCTTATTTCTCTTCCCTTCTTCTCAACCTCTTTATACCTATAATTCTATTCCTCCTTTTCTTTTATTAATCTGCTCCGTGGATTGAGTTTAGCGTGGATATGATATAACAGCAGCTAGCATTTTAAAGTCTCAATGTAAGAATATGTAGTAAAAACATTATACTTGATTGGCGGTATTCACCTTAAAAAAAAACTTCTTGCTGTTCCATTAGTAATATAAAAATTTTCCCAAACGTTAACAATAAATTTTAGCATTATTTTTGTCTGATACATGCCTATCATGTTCAAATCCCAAATGAGCAATCTAGAAAAATAATAACACCACTTTCACATTTTCTTCATTGCAAACTAACCATACAGTAGGCTACTTTCACAGAGTCTTTATCGCAAACTAAACATGCATTAGGCTCCAAGTATAACTTAACTTCTAACTATGGCTTCTAGTTTGAACTAACAATACAAAATAATAGATCAGCGCTTTTCTCCTATTTATGAAGCATTTGAAGCAAAGTTTAAAATTGCACAATTCAAGGCGCGCCTTTGCGCAATTTGCTCCAAAATAGCCTCAAAGCCTAGGCAATTCTTAGGCATCATGAGGCGTACGCCTTAGGTGGAGTGAGGCGGGCCTCACTAAGCATTATTGCGCAATTTTCTTTGAGGCGTACGCCTCTAATATGGGGGCCCACTTACTTAAAAAACCTCTTAAATTCTTCCATATACCCACTTACCCGACCAAAGACCCACTTACCCAATCGAAGACGTCAACCGAAGCCGTGCAGGAAGCACGCAGATGCCCGATCCGGCTCTCCCGCACGTTTCCGCCTCCTCTACCCCCGGCGCCGCCTCTCGTCGGTGAGTCCTTTGTTTCAGGCCGCCCCTCTACATCAGTTCTCTTAGGTT